TCATCAGAGAGCAGCATTGGAATGGGTGGGTTTGGGGTTGGGATAACTCCCTCATCAGAGAGCAGCATTGGAATGGGTGGGTTTGGATTTGGGATAACTCCCTTATCAGAGAGCAGCATCAGAATGGGCAGGTTTGGATTTGGGATACCACTCACCTCCCCATATTAGAGAGTGGTGTTGGAACAGGCAGGTTTGGGGTTGGACTGACCACCCACACCCCCTCATATCCCTTCTCTTCCCAGCACCGTGTCTGACACCGACCCCAACCCAGAGCGGAGACCTGGAGCGAACCCCACCCCAGCCCAAGGAGGGGGTCTCAGCTCCCGGGGGGCCTGGCAGGGTCGGTGTCCGGGGGCTCCCCGTTCCCAGCGGGGGCACGTCCCCTTACCCACGAATTTCTGCGGCGTGGAGCGTTTCCGTTTGGTGAAGCTGTTGGCCAGGCGGTCGATGAAGGTCGGCCGCTCGGCCGAGGGGTGGAGCAGGGAATCGGGCACTATCTCCAGGTCCCGCATCTCCTCACCTGGCGAGAGAAGGGAGAGGCCCAGGTCAGCTGGCACGGCGGGACGGGACGGGCACGCTGCCACCCGGGCCGGAGACGCCGCGGGCAGCGCTCCGGATACGCCGCTCCTGCCCTCTGCCAGCTGGGACGGACCTACGGACCGGCTGCCGCACCCTGAGCTTACCCCGTCGGTGGTCGGTCGCAGGGGAGCGCCGGCAGCCGGTCCGCATCCCTCCTCCGTCCAGCCGGGCCCGCTCCTGCCACTTTGGGAAGAGGAGCTGCTTCAACGGATCGAAGTGCCCTCGAGTTCTCAGCCCCGGCGGGACAGACGTGCCCTGTGCCCCTCGCTCTGCCGGCGAGGGCAGCTCCCACATTCCCGGGGAACCCGGCCCTGAGCACGGGGAACCTCCCTGGGAGCTCCAGCGGCTCTAAGTCCGACTCCAGGAGGGTGAGGAGCCAGCAAGGCCCCAGTTCTGGCTCTCTGCCAGGGAATTCTGCCCGCCTGCAACTCCCGAGGAGCTCCCGAGCCACACGTGCCCGCTGGGACATCGCTGGGACATCGGCCCGCGGGGGTGAATCCCAGCTCGTGGCACCACAGCTTATGGAAAACGCTCCTGGTAGTTCTTGCACTGGAAATTGGGGCTGGGGAGTGTTTGGGTTCGGGGCTTTGGGATCCAGAGGAACCCGGGAAGAGTCCGGGAGGTCACACTGCACTGGCAGGTTCGTGGCATTGACCAGCACGGGCTCATCGCACCTTCTGCCCCAGACCCGGGCACGGAGCGCACCGGGGGCACTTCCCCCCCCCACAGCGCCCCCTTTTCTAGGGAAAAACCTCCCCAGAACTCAACCCCGTCCCCAAAACTCAACCCCATCAGCCGGGGGGCTGGGAAGTGACCCCGCGCTCCCATTTCCCACCCTGCCGGGAGACGCCTCCCGGCCTGCCCGGATCCGGGGGGGCATCGGAGCCCCGGGACCCCCCCGGCACTGAC